TACTTTTTCTCTATATCCTTTCATTCTTTCACTCACTCATCGTTTCTTTTAGAATGGAATAAGATTCTGTTGTGTTGAGATCCATAGTGGATAGACTATTCCATAAACCGTGCCATTTTGCTCTCTCTTTCAGCCGGGGGAGGAGGGGTGAGGCGGCATGGCGGAGAGCTATGTGGAGTTGGTGAGCCACGCTCTGCACCTTCCTCGTGAATACTGTTGTCTGGGCTCTTTACCAGGCTATGTGGAGTGTTACATTTATGCTCCATGGATACGGTATGTATGCAGTCTGTGATGAATTAAAGTTATAATTTCTTTCAGTTTTTAATTTTAGATTGTTACATTTATAAGTCAACTACAGTTGAGTCTTGAAAGCTTCGGACCAAATATGTAATTAATTTCTAAACTAGTAATGGTTATGGCAAAAAGTTTTTCTGTTACTATTACAAGTACAGCTTACATGGACATAAACCTAGCTCTGTTAATAGTCCTGTGATACAAATTTATAATTTTGTGGCTTATTTTATATTGACCCAGAAACCATGCCCATTTAATACTAAGAAGTTATAGTTCAGGTTACTGTCCATTTAGTCACAGTGGCTTCTTAGGCCCATATAGGCCCAAATCCCAATCACTGCTCTGTGCTCTTTGAATTGCTAATCACTTCATGCTTCATACTTATTATTAAGTTTAGGATTATTATTTCTTATTAGATAACAAACATGAAAAGTTAAGAGTAAACCTATATGATAACTTTCTAAAGACTGTTATGAATGTTAAATATTATTGGAATGTTTACAGCCACCTTTACCAGCAAACATAATGCTAGATATATATCTTGCCTTATCACTTTCACCTGTTAGATGTACAGAACCCATTTTTATTTACATCAAGAGAAATATTATTTTTGTTAGTGAAGAAACAAAGAGATACACTTCCTAAATTCACCAAATCTTCCACAATAAAACAGCCCAAATATGGTTATACAGTCAATTTTATCTAAATATGATAAGATTTCTGTCATTCTTTTTCATTGTTTACTAAATATGCTTTGAGATTTATATGAATTTAATTATCATCTCCAAAGCTGCCAGTGGTGATATAGATAGATAGATATAGATATAGATATAGATGCATATACACATACATACACATATGTATATAATATATATAATATATATGATATATGATATATGTATATAATACATATAATGTATATATATATATATATATATATATATATATATATATATATATATATATATATATATATATATATATATATATATATATTTATATATATATGTATATATATATATATATATATATATATATATATATATATATTTATATATATATATATATATATATATATATATATATATATATATATATATATATATATATATATATATATATATATTTATTTATTTATTTTATATATATATTTATTTATACATATTTATAAATACACACACACACACACACACACACACACACACACACACACACACACACACACACACACACACACACACATACATACATACACGCACACATACACATATATATGAACCGTATTTATGTTGACAAATGTAGAAAAGATACAATACAAGAGATGTATTTGACCGGTTTTCTTTATATTTCTGACGAAGATTAATTGAAACCGGTCAAATACATTTCTTGTATTATGAAGATATTCATTCTCATTCATAGGGATTATTCTTAGTGTTTTATGGGAACTCTATAATGCAGGAGTGTCATTCGAGAAGGATCCTTCACGCCTCCACCAGAGCATGAGCATCTGAGCCCAGCAGAGGTGCAGTCTGCTCTCCAGTTGGGGGAAAGATTAGGAGACTTCTGGCAGAGAGTGTTGGTGCAGGTTAGTCTCATGTAATGTAGACTTCTGGGATTGTAAGCCCTATAATTCTTCACACTCTTCAGAGGATTAGAGAATATTGAAAAGATGTCAAATTGTTAGTTATGTTTGTAAATAAATAGATCTATTTTATGAGTATGCATTTATAGACATCACTTTATTCATATACAGGTTTGTTTATCTGTTGTATTTTTATTATAGGTTATACACAAGAGTAATAGTCAAGTGTATCCACTTGCCCGAAATGCTGGACCGTCTCCAGGGTTGTTGGCAGATGTTTCTTATTCACAGTTGCTTCATTATGTTGCAACATCCAATAACAAAAACCTATGGAAAGATGCTTTTAAAAAATATTCTGGTATGTTTTAAGCCTCCTTTCACTAATGTTGATATTCCTATATTTTCTCCTGGAATAATTAGGTTTGAGACATTTGGTTTTACTGAAGTATGTATATATACATTTTTGCATAATTTATACATTACTCAGCCAATGCAAGGTTTACATATGAAACTTATCATAATTGTGGAATCCCAAAATTGAAATATAAGAATGCCATCTTGCAGAGCATGGTGTTGCTGTGCAATGGAAGGGAGGTGCACAGGTGGGGACAGACTCCTTGCACAATGTCCTGAGGGAGGTTATCTGGAGATTGTTTGGCTGTAAAATCATATCTCTCAGGTTTGTGAATGTCTGTGTTTCATGAATGATTTTGTGTGATAAGGATATCCAACAGTCCTTATTTTTTTCTTGGATTTGGTTCTTATATCCTGATCAAAACCTTCAGACTGTTCAAACTTGCAGGGAAGATGGCACACCACAGTCTGGCATGCAAGGCAGCCGTTTACCTGAACCACACTCCAATGTTCTGCCAGCTCTTTGTGCCCTGGAAGGAGAGGAACATGTCTTCATCATCCTTAACAATGTGTATCACAGTGTTCATCAGTGTGTGTCTTTCAGGTAAGGGGTTCGTGTGAATTTCAGCGTGCAAGTACATATATTTAGTTTAGTCACTTATTTTTTTATGTCTGATGAAATTTTTGTTCTTACAGTGTTTACATGGAAATAACCTGTAGTTTGTAAAGCATTCATCATTTATTTAACTTTCATATAAGTTCATTATAAAAACAGCTTGAAAGATAAAGGTTATTATCAACTGTACATACATAAAGTATTAAAATACAATTCACTGATTACTGTATTTGTAAAACAGTAAATACTTTGCTTATTTATGTAATAAAGCCTAATTTTCATTGCATACTAAAAATATACATAGGAACTGATGATGATGAGTGATAATTTTAACATACAAGTGTGGCTTGAATAGTCTATTCACATAAAGATCCTAGTGACACACTAGGATTTTTTTTGCAACATTATGCCCTTCTGTCTGGTGAATATGAAAATGTAACATTTATAGAAAGTTAACAATGATGGTGATGATGATGATAAAGTTGATAATTATTTGGGAGGATGAAGGTTTCTCATAAGGATTTGGAGCTGTCTTCATTCTTAGAACTGACAGCGGTGCTGTAATGAATAACATCAACATTGCTGATGGATGTTGGATGTGCTTTGTTAGGTATAGTTATATATATTGGCACATTTTATATAAAAATCTTGATATCTATAAGAATAAGGTCTCTCCAGCAAAGGAACTGATTTCATCTTCTATTTATAGTCCTGCAAAGCTCTCAGGACTGGAAGCAGGAGCACTCTTCATTTTATACCAAATCCTAGAAGTGGCAAGAGATACCCATGATCGTGGACTTCATCTTGGGGATATCACTCTCCACCAGCTCTACATAGACAACGCTCTCTACCTCAGACTACTTCCAAGCATTCCTGATAACCTTATCCAGCCGGAGTCTTCACAGCCCTCACACTTACCGAAGAGCAAGTCTTTAAGTGAGTCAGAACAGCACCCAGACTCTGCCATTGGAGAGAAAAGACAAAGCCATTCATCAGATTCCACAAGAAGCACAGGAGACTTAGAAGCAGACTCAGTAAGGACAAACTCCCCAGAACAGAACTCTGAAAGAAGCAAAGTCTCTCAGGATTCTCGGGGGGACCTTGCCAAAAGAAAAAACTTGCTGCCTGTATCCAAGAAGAATGAAACAAACCAAACTGCACAGCCAAAGACATCAGTTATTGAAGGATCTGAGAACAGGAATAGTGCAAATCAAACAGACAGTAGATTACTGGAATATCAGAAACTCATATCAAGTGAAGATGCATTTGAGGCATTAAGACAGGTACTGAAGTGAATTAGTGCTCTCTTGTAACCACAGTGCCATAGATATGTATTCCACTTTGAGACATTGTTTTAAAAGTGCAGTTTCTTGCAATTGCATCAGAATTCATAGATTAATTTTCAACAGTCTTTTCAGGCAGAGATAAGTAACACCCAGGATGCAGATTTAGAAACACTTTTGCAATGCTCCTTGGTCCAACTTACTCAGCTTTGGGTGAGTAAATGCTCTTTTTATATGTGTGTGTGTGATCAATATCTTGCATGCAAATTTTTGTATTTACTGTTATGTAATTCAAACCTTTTTAGTCCAAAAATTCATGTTCAAAACCCAATCCACTTTATATCCCAGGAACAGCTATTCCCAATAATTTTTCCAATGATTATCTTATCTGTCAAAGGAAAGGAAATATAGCTGGACTCTGGATTTGAGTCTGTGAACCTAAACAATAACTTAAATTCTGCAATATATAGTATAAGAATATTAGGGTATAGAAAAATATAGTTAGATTTGTTATATTCTCAAAATTGCATCTTAAATGTTATTATTTACTTACTATATTAACATCATATTATCATTCTCATTACTGTATTTGTTATTGCTGCTTGTCATTATTATTATTATTATTTTATTTTTAGAACTAGCATAATTTTATCTAATGCACGCACACACACACACACACACACACACACACACACACACACACACACACACACACACACACACACACACACACACACACACACACACACACACACACACACATCTACAATGTGCACAATCACACACACACACACACACACACACACACACACACACACACACACACACACACACACACACACACACACACACACACACACACACACACACA